ATGAAGTGGGGAAAGAGGTAGAGAGTTTCAGAAGATGTGGTGCAATTCTATTATAAATGGAGTGGCCATTTCTCAGGGAAGCCTCTGTGAGGAGGTAAAAGTCAGACAAGGTGAACAAGCTATGAAGATATCTAGGAGAAGAAGTAGGCAGAGAAAACACCTGCTGTGATGATCTTTGGGCAAGACTGTGCCTGGCTTAATCAAGAACACAGAATCCAGGAGCAGAATGAGTAGGTGGGAGGAGGCTTGGACGTCAGAGAGGTAACAGGGAGCCCCACTGTCAAAGGACTTGCGGCCATGGTGAGGATTCTGAACTTGACTCTGAGTGAGATGGAGAGGTACCGAAGGATCATAAGCAGAAGAGTGCTCTGACTCAACTTAGGTTTTGAAAGGATCACTGTCTCTTATGTGTTGAACATCACTCAAAGAGGCAATAACCTTGAGAAAGAATTTCAAACTCTGAAAATAAACCAGATTACAGTTGATGATGGCTTGGACCAGTTTGTAGGAGAAGAGTTGGTAAGAAGTTGATGGATTCTGTATATTCCTGAAGGGAGAACCCATAGGATTTTTTGATGATTGGATATGGGGTTTAAAAGAAATATAATCACCAAGGGTTGGTAACTGAGCAACTAGAAGGATGAAGTTATCGTTAATCAAGAGACTGGAGAGTATCTATGGGGGAGTGAGTAACCACAGAATTTAAACTTGGTAAGGAGAAAAGTGAGGGCACAGGGAGAGAAAAAGAAAGTAAGGCAGTGAAATTAGGTTGAAAGATCAAGAAATCATAGGTCCCAGGAACCAGCAGTTAGCATAATGGCTGTGTGGCTGGACTCCCACGTAGTCGACCACGGTTCGCATCCCAGACCCGGTGGCTTAGAACTCACGCAGGGCGCGTGTGCGTGCATGCCCAAGATCCCGAGAGGAGAATGGAGGAGAAAGGGATTGTGACGTGACCATCCCCCCTGGGGGATGATTTCTTGCTTTCTGTCTCTCCATCTCTCTCTGTCTGGCGAGCACATGCGCCCTATAGAGAAAACCTCTCAAAAAAAAAAAAAAAAAGAAAGAAAGAAATCATAGGTCCCCATGAGTTGGGAGAATTATCAAACGTAGGGTACTAGAAGAAAACTAGATAGAGAAGTCATGGTAGTCAGAGGGTATGATGTTTAAAGTTGAGACCAGGGAGGAAACTGTTAGAAATGACAAAATCTGCTATATGAAAAAAGAGTCAGTAACTAAGGTAGGGCCGGGGACAGATCATCACAGGCAGGTCAAGAAACGAAGATGGAAGTAGTTGGATCGATATTTTTGTAGATGCTGAAGCCATCAAGAATTATGGCATGGGACCAGCAGTTAGCATAATGTCTATGTCACTGAACTCCCACGTAGCTGACTGCTGTTCGAGTCCTGGACTTGGCAGCTTAAACTCACGCTGGGCGCATGTGTGTGTGTGTCCAAGATCCTGAGAGGAGAATGGAGGAGAAGGGATTGCGGCGTGACCATCCCCCCTGGAGGTGATTTCTTGCTTTCTGTCTCTCTGTCTCTGTCTTTCTAGAGAGTGCACGCGCCCTATAGCAAAAAACCTCTCCCCCCAAAAAGAATTATGGCTCAAGGAACACTGGAGAGAGAGCAGTAGTGATCCTGGGGCTATCATCTTCAGGGAACAAGGGACAGTGACCAGAAAGGGGGGAGATAAAGGTGTTAGTGGGTGACATGAGATTTAAAGATAATATTTTTAAAACAAAGGGATAAGAACTAGCTTAGAAGAAGCAATGAGAGATTTGGAAGGAAGCCACCCCACCTCCAGACCATTAGTATGAGTTGTGTGGAAAGCAAACAGCCAACTGTCAAGAGGCTGCCTGGAGAGCAGTCGTGAAGAGAGAACCAAGTGTCAGTTAAGGCAGAAACATGAGGCGGTAGGACCAACGGTTGACTTCCGGGGATGCAATGGAAAGATTTCAAAAACTGGAGAAAGGAGGGAGTTAGGGTAAGAAAAAACGTTTTATATAGAAGCAAATGTTAGTTTTTTGGGGGGGATTTAATTTCTTTTCAATCATTTCTTGAAAGACACTACACTTCTCATCTCAGAGGCCCTTCTCTGCACTCCTGGTGGTAGAGAAGAACGTCTCTCCCAGCCAGGCTGTGAACTAGTCTTGTTTTAACGTCTGTGGTTGTCGCTGGTTCCAACAGCTTCTGTGGGCCAGCACTTCTGGACGGGCAAGCCTGTCACCCTGTCATTTCCCTTGTGCCCTCCAAGACCCAGAACTTATTTGCTCTCTTTCTCACTATAAGGTTTCTACTAACTTTCCTATGGCAAAAGGAAAAGAAATTACTTGAGCGTCCGTTCTGTATATGGAGCACTTTACATACATGTGTGATTATTCCAAGTTTTAGATGAGAGGGAATGTCCATGATGATGGTTAGCCTGCTGGAGATCGCACAGCCAGTAACGGGTAGAGCTGGAATTACAGCCCTAGCCTGACGTCAGAGCCGAGCTCTTTACTGTAGACTGTATAATCCTCTTCCCAGGAGGCCTTGGTGAGGCAAACATCATCTCTTACAGGGATAAGTTTTCATTCTAGCATTCATATACAATCTGAACAGTTCTGAGTGAATTTAGGACCCTGACTAGAGCTATCTTCACCTCCTCAAGGTAAGAGAGAACCGCTGGGTTTTTACCGTCACCATTGCAGACTTTAGCACTGACTGGGGGCTCTTGACTGTCTTAGGTACTCACTCCAGAAAGTAAGTTGTACAGATGTTTTGTGTGCTTATTTGTTTATTCGGCTTTAAGAAATAATGGCCTTCCATCACCAACTTAATGTCCAAGTGCTGTTAACTGTGTGATGCCCAGTTTAGGAGACTGGGGACGTGATCCAGATTGCTACGTATTTTCCAATAGCGTGGCTTTGTCTTTCTCAGCTCAGTCTCGTCATCTAGTAGAAAAGTTGTGCTACAGAAAGGATTTCACCACTGGCTGTGCCAGTGGTGCAGCTGTAGCTGAGCAACTCTCTCTGAACTGGTTACTTCATCTGGAAAAAGGAGAAACGATACTTACCTCTTAGGCTTATTAGGAATATTAAAGAAGATGAGGTGAAAGCATCTGAGCATAGTCTCACCAGCACATGAAAGCAACTCAATTTGAATTTATTTGATAGACCTATAAATACAGAAATTCTGATTTAAAAAATACTGTAGAAATGACCATCTATTCTTTGTGCAAAGAAAATTTTCTTTCGGAAAAGAAAATGTACCATTTGATTGTGGTGTTTTGCAGAGTTCATTTTTATACATTATTTTGCCAAACTGGAAAATCTGTAAAATAGGCTAATATTGCAGTAAACGTTTTCACCCTGCACTCATATTGTGACTAAAGCAAAAATATTATTTTTGCAGTTATCCAAATTCAGTAAGAAATTTAATGAAATAGTCGCTGCCTTGGGAAAATTAGCATGGAATTTAATTTGTGTCGATCCAGCCCAAAATTTAGGTAACAAAAAGTATACTGTTTGTAGAATCTGATGTGATGAAACGAAAGCCAGTATTTTGTAAGATGCTTCTATACATAGAGTTAGATGCCTCTATTACCTGCTGCCTTCAGGCAATCAAAAACACTCACCATGAGAATCATAAAAACTGGATCATATCAGGTGCCTGGATGCTGACAGGCTCAATGGGAGTCAGGAATTTTTACGAAATATAGTGAACTTAGTGTATTCGTATACTGAAAAAAAAGAGTGATGAGAAACAAGGCAGATGATAACCTAGGTTCAGGTCCTGAGTCTGCTGGTTATTGAACCCAGGGTCTGAAGTTAGGCCTTATTTTCTTCATCCGAAAAAAAGAAATAATATTAATTCATGGGCTGCCATGCTAATTGAATCTGGAACCATATGAAAGTCCATGAAGGTCTCGTACGAGTTTTGCCAAGTCCAGGACTTGAACTGAGGTTAGCCATGTGGGAGTCCAGTACCATAACCACTATACCATCTGCTGGTCCTGGTAGATTTTAATTTTAAGTTTTTATGTTTCTTTCATGTGAGAGAGAGAGAGACAAAGAAAGAGTTTATTGGGGGGCCCACATACAGTGTCTTCACACTATGAACCACCCCTGGCCTTTGTTAGGCAGGGCGTGTGCACCCAGCGTATACAGAGAGACCTTGGGGTACAAACCAGGGACCTTCCCACGCGACAGCATCGTGGGGCACTGTGTCACTGCTGCACCACGGGGCTGGTCTATATAGACCTTCTTGTGCACCAGTTATGTCTCAAGTGAAATTGAGAGGCAGGGAAGCCATGTCTTCCTGCAGAGAAAGCAAAAAGGATCCGGTATGTTTACCTGAGCTAGAGTAACATAATGAAGGGATGATCTGGTGAAACTAGGCCTCAGCACCCCCTGGGATCTAGGAAGAGTCCACGGGTCTTATTCAGTTAAGTTCAAGAGCTCTCGCTGCTCTTTATCCTTGACTCCTCCAACCTCGGCTCCATGTCTAGCCCCAGTTCTAGCCCAGGGCCCCAGAGTCACAACATCCATGATGGCCCTCCCATAAGAACCCTCCAGCCACAGAAACAAGTGGGCATTTGCACAGGCACCAATGACGACTTCGCTACGTCTCACTCTGGGATATACGAGGTCCTTCCTCCCTACGGTTCTCAGGACAAAATGAACATGACGCAAAGCCACTTAGCAGTGTCATGAGGACATGTTTCGTGCCACTAGTCTAATTTTTAGAACATTTCAGGAGATCTCCATAAAAATAGTCTCACATATAACTTTGTGGAATTAACTACCGCATCTATTCCAAATGCAGGTGTTATCCAAGCTTTGCCACGTTTGCCATATTAAAAGAACCCTACCTTTAAGTTGCAAAACCATCAATAAGGTCTCCATTCTCTTGTGTTATCCCCAACCACAGCATCAGGAATATTCGCAGGGGTCCTCCAGGGAACACCGTTGTCTCATTGTGTCTTTTTTGTCCTTGGTTTTTTTGAATCTATACAGGCAACAGCCTCAGATTCCAATCACCACAGGAACAGGTGTTGTGTATCCTGGTGCTATTACTATGGCAACGACCACACCGTCACCTCAGATGACATCTGACTGCTCTAGCACCTCGGCCAGCCCCGAGCCCAGCCTCCCGGTCATCCAGAGCACTTACGGGATGAAGACAGATGGCGGAAGCCTGGCTGGGAATGAAATGATGAACGGCGAGGATGAGATGGAAATGTACGAGGACTATGAAGATGACCCCAAATCAGACTATAGCAGTGAGAACGAAGCCCCGGAGGCTGTCAGTGCCAACTGAGGAGTTTATGTTTGCAGAATTAAAGTACTCTGACATTTCACCCCCCTCCCCCCAACAAAAGTTCTTAAAGAGCCCGCATGCATTTGTGGCTCCACAATTACATCAGCAATGGTCTTAATTGTTTCGTAAAGTGTGAGACAGATTAAGTTTTCCCTGATTTTTCATGAACTTGAGTTTTTTGTCGTTATTGTTATTGTTGTTGTTGTTGTTTTTTTAATTTAGGTGAAGACATATTAAATATGAGACACCAGGACTTGAAAACTTATCTCAACCTAGAGCTGTCTTACAAGTCTTATATTTTTGTCTTACTTTTTTTTTTTTTTTCCTTTTGGATGTTGATAAAGGTTTAAGTTACTGTTTTAGATGGGGTTAAACATTCTCACTCAGGTATGCTGTGCCGGCCTACAGGTTGTGAATGTGTTTTTATTCTGAATTATTTTAGAAAACAACTGAGGATTTCAGATCGTGACACAGAACAAGTCCACGGCGTGTGCAGCTGCATGTCGAGCATACTCGAAAGGCCTCGGAATTCCATTTGCCCGTGTGTAGTTCCACTTTGAATGTGCCAAACTTTTTCATAACTTTTGAATCTTAATATTTTGAAAGTCTTAAAGGAGACACTGCAAGTCTTAGACAATCTTCGGCATCTTAAAATAGCAAACCATACATTTTTTTTTCCAGAAAATGGTAAAGTACTCAGGAATCTGGAGACAAGATGTTGTAAGGAATGGGCAAGGTTGCCACACTGCATGTACCCAACTGCGTTTGCCTCTTGACGTGCCATCCGCGTGTGACATGGGATGACGTGCACACACCAGAGCGGTCACCACACCAGATACCGACACGGTGGTCTCTGCCTGAGACCACGTCTCACTACATCCATTGTCCCTTTGCCTTTAACCCTGACATTCAGTCTTATCACATTTTCTCTTAACTAATTTATTCATTCCAGAATGTCAAGGGTCCACTTACTATTTATTTTTTAAAAAAAATTGTTGATGGCATTAATTTAATAATTCTTGTTTTTCACCCTCCTTCCCCGAAGAACTTCTCAGCTCTTTTCACGCCTCCTTCTCCGGCTAGATACAAAAGATGTACGTAGTGAATCTTGTGTCCCCAGAGCATCTGGAAGCATTTCTGAAACAAGATACTATTAAATACCTATAGTGTTCTTAAACAGGAGTGTCTGTCTGGCTGCAGGGCTGTGTGTTTGAATACTGGTGTATAGTTGTTACACTTAAACAGCCCCCGAGGTTCACTGCGGCCTCAAGTCTTTTGCCAGAATTGCCCCCAACACAGATCAGCAGCAGTGGCATTCCCCTGAGCTCCACTGGGCAGCGAGGGTCCGCAGTGGTGACTGCTTGGCAGGAGAGTCCTGCAGCCCAACCTGAAGCCCACGGCTCATGGGCTGTGTAGGCATCTACAGTGATGCTGTCAGGGGTTGGCACCTTTACAGTGGGTCACCTTGTCCCAGTTGGCACATCCAGGGAATTCTCTGCAAAAGTCCCCAGGATGCAAGAAGCCACATGACAGCCTCAAAGCAACGACAGAGGCAAAAAGGCATGATCCCTCCAGAGTACGAAAGGAAACCGTAGGGAAGAAGGGGGTGATGTACATTCCCTCTGTGGGATGTTCCTACTGTGACCTCTGGGGATAGATGGGTCCCGCTGCTGCCTCCCTGTCCCTGCGGCACCACATGGGACACACCTATGTGTGGACAAGGTTGTCACACAAGGATTCCTTTGGAGATGTGCTGCCGGGCTGCGAGGCAGGGAGGGTTCGTTCCCCATCTCCTAAGACGGGAGCTCTGCCATGCCATTTTGACCTTCCCGGAGCCAGGACTGGTTACCTATGGGGGTGGGGGTGCTCGCCCAGAGTAGTTCAACGGGAGAAAGTCAGTGAACGGGACAGTCCATCTCATGGGGCAACCCGGAAGCTGATCACCAGGACATAGGAACGGCCCCACCGGATTTCTTGAGCCATTTTGTCCCTTGGAAGAAAATAGCGTACCTTTGTATTTATTTAAAGAGTGCTCAAGGCCACACCTAATAGCAATAAACGGGTCGGCCGAAATATCAGCAGCTCTGTCCTTAGCTGAGAGTGCTCTCAATAAGCTGATTAAGGTACTGATAGGAATGTTTTGTTCTTAATATTGATTGGGGATTGGAACTTTGTTTTTGTACATTTCTTTCAATGAGGAGGAGATCATTTTTCTAAAATAAATGAGTATTTATTATGTCTTACTGATTTCTGTGATCACAGACATCTCCTCCTCAGTTTGTTCTCGTGTTCTCGCTCGCTCTCCGGCTTTCGCTTTGGCTCTCTCACTCCTTTTTAATTTTGCTGCCTAGGTAAAGTGTTGTGTGGCTAGCATTGTGTTGTATGTAATTAATTTTGCACAGAGGCAAGCATTTAGCATAGGGGGTTAATTTTGTCTGTTTTTATGATCATGCCAAAATAATATTCTGGGCTGGTGGAGAACAAAGGACTGTTCTTTAGGACTGAAACTTGATTTTGCTTGTAGTAAGAAAAACAAAAACAAAAAAACAAAACACACACACACACTCACAGACGTTGTTTCGTAAGTGTTATAAGCACTGGATAGAAATGGTATTTTGTATCACTTCTGACTAATGTGAAACTGTTGTAGGAAAGCGACAGGGAACAAAAGTCATTTGTTTCGACTCGTGTGGGCTCGCCTCACAGATGCCGGATTTGAGTCATTTTTTTTATGTCTTGTTATTTCATTTATTTATGCAAAATACATGTGTGTATGAACACTTCGTTGTCGCTCCGCTCTGCCTCGGTCCCGGGGCTCAGTTACTCTAGCCACGTTCTTCAGAATGAAAGGCTCTTCAGGAACGATCTGATTGTACACGTCTCTCTTCGGCTCACACAGTCATGCTGGATTCGAATCTAAATTCTGTGCTAAGCAATTTCTTCTATTTATTAGCCACGTTTGGCTCTAAATACCCATGGAAATTAAGAATGACAATCACAGGGATCACTTCATCTTATTTTCAGTGGGGCTTAGACAAAGTTTGGATGATGTTACCATCTCATGTTAGACTTTTCTAATTGTGTAAATATAACATAGAAATAGAATTTATTTTTGGCTCACGAATCCTTAGTAAGATATAAGTTATGTGTTTCCTTCGTGCTCTCTATCCACGTATTTTGGTCCAGACTTGAGGTTGACGAGTCACTGTACCTCGTGGGGACAGTGAATTGTCATTACCTGCAGCTTCTACCTGTAGCTGAGACAGCAACACCCTTCACTTGGGTCCGGCGTACTTTAGAAACCACCGTCCACAGACGGAGGCTCTGCCCTCGGTTTCTTGCAGAAAGCTGATGAGTTGAGCATACTAAATTCCCAGTACGGCCGGGAGAGAGACACTTACTTTGCAAATCCACATTCATCTTCCAAGGTGGTTCTGTGACCATTTAATAGCAAGAGGTAGGAATGCCATTACAAAGGCAAAAAGCTGCCTCTGGGGTTGGCCAAGGATACTGGTCCCACCGTGCCAGCTGGATTGAAGAAGGTTAAGCCACTTCCGTGTCTACGCTCCCTATTTCCTACATGTTCAAGTACTTAGAGGATCAGGGTTCTCCTCATCGCTTAGCATAGGTCCACTGGCAGACATTCCTCTCCAGAAAAATGGCCCACATAGGAGAGGAAGGATGGGGAGAAGGGAGGAAGGCAGACTGAGGGGGAGAGGGAAGCAGGGAGACAAGGAAGAGGGAGAAAGAAAAGGTGGCTTGCGCCATGAACAACCAAGCGGCAGTTTCTCCATGTCCTGGAGATGCAAGGCAGCATCTTTTCCAGGAGGGTGTGAAAGCTTCATGTTTTCACGCACATCCTACTCAACCTTTTGAGCAGTTTGCTTCAGTGGGTATTTGATACTCTCCAGCTTTGTCCCCAGGCTCGATTTGGGTTGCCAGCGTCCTACCAGGACTCTCAAGCTAGGTTCTAAAATCCAGGTGTGGGCTCCCAGGGTTCCTGTGCCTGATGGATTCTGGCCTCCCCCAAACATCAGTCCCACGGGAGCCTGGGCTATTTGCAAAGGGTGTGATCACTCCACAGCTGAAATTAAAGGCCGCTTTCTTTTCCTTATGAAGCCAGGCTGCTGCTTTGGAGTACACCCTCCTGAGCCAGGAGTACAGGAGCTGACTGAAAGCAGGGCTTGTTCAGCAAGCCTGTCTACCCTCAGAGGAAGTCAGCCAGGTCACTTAAACGCCAGGCCGAGGCTGCTGCTCTCAGTTTCCTCATTTTGCAAAGAGTCAACCTCTACCAACTCATTAGGGAAAAATGCAAGAATCACTTAGTGCTTGGAAACCAGATGAGAAGTTCTGTACCAAGTGCCAACAACTGCAAGAAGTGCAGTTAGGGGAATGTATTGAAATTATGTCTGGGTCTTCCTTTTTAATGAGAAAATGACAACAATGGTCGCTGTCGCCTTGCCTGGTTTTGTACACATTTGTCTAAAGACTGCGTTGGCACTTTTTAAGTTCACTTCTCTAAGTATAATGATATTGGGTGACCTCCTTTGTCCTTTTCCAAAAGCCTTTGCATCATTTCCTGAAGTCCTCTGCCCCCGCATGTTCTCTTCCTTAATAAACAACTTCCATCTGTTATTCCGGTGACGTTCTCTCTCGGATGCCACATCCTATCGAGCACGCTCCTGTGCTAATATCATTGACAAGATCGATATGCAAACCCATTTCCTCTTCATCCCCATCCCGTCTCTTCCAATGGGGACAGATTGCTTTCCAAATCTCCATGAACAAAGCTTTGGAATGTTAGTATCTCTGGGGCAGAGCTGGGGTGGGTGGGGTAGGGACGGAAAGGGCACGCTTAGTGCAGGTACTCTGCTAATCGGTGTCCGTGGCAATATAAACGCTTGAAGGCAACTCAGTGACAGAGATCTTGCTCGGTCTTTTCTTATTCCTGAAGAACCACAAGCATCAAGTCAGGCCTCAGTGCTGGTGCTCTTGGAGTATGGGGAATGTGCAAATATTTACTTGTTTCGTATGCTGCACATTGCAGATCTGCTCATGTGCATTCTCCGTTTGTCTTCCTTTGTCATACGTGTGTTTTTGCTTTTTTGAAAGTGCAGTCTTTTTTTTTTTTTTTTGGTACCCTTCTCCAGCTTGTAGCAAATTAGAATGCTTAGCATTTATGTTCATTCATTCTCGTATTTGCCATGTAAAATTTTTATTACCGTAGACAAGCTTATAAGCTGTTACTTCATAACTTATCTCACTGTAACTCTTTTTATTTCCCGACATTGTAATTTGTTTGTGATGTATATTGTGAGATTGTATTCTATGTTAATTTAATCAGCACAATTCACTGACATGCTGGACTGACATGCTGGCTGCTGTTTCAAAGTGTAAAGTTTGTGTAGAGCTGTTGGGACAACTGCAACTCTGTTGTCAAGGTACTGTGCTTGGTTCCCATAGCAACACTGTGGGTGTGGCCCTTGAGGAGCTAAGGGCTCTTAAAACACCCTTGAGCAAATTTTAACTGCAGATTTTCTTTGTAGAAATTCTATGTATAACGCAGGTACCTACTTGGCCCATGGCTGGTAACTATTTGGGCAATTAGAAAAAAAAAAACAAAAAAACATAAAAACTAGTGTCTATTGCTGCTTTGAATATGTTTGAAAGTCTGAAAATGTAAATAGTTTATCAAAAAAAAAATCTTGTACAGTCCAGTGTAAAGTTTTTAAATGACTTTAAGGGTTGCCATCACATCTTTCTCACACTCTCCTCTTGATAATGAAAAAAAAAAGTTTGCTAAGGATTAAAGAAATGGAAAAAAAGAGAATCTTCCAATTTAAAGGAATGAATCATTGTTTTTAGCTTTGTTGCATACACAAACTTCTTGGATTCTGTTGTGCAGTATTGACGTGAGATAAAACTCGACATTGAATAATCTTTCAGTGGTACTTCTCAAAGTCTTCCCCTCCTCTGCCTCATAATGAAGGGAAAAGACAAAATTGAAAGACACGCTGTCTTTATCTATCCTGGTGTACGTTGGCACCTTAGCTACTTTTTTTTTCCTTTTTGCACAAGGTGCTTTCCTGATATGTTAAACATGCCATCTTTGGGTGATAATGTATATGCCATGATGGGGTTCGGCCCCTCAGGGGAGTGTCTATAAGAACTGCCTATTTATGCTCATTTACCTCAAGACTGTCCTCTCTACCCTAATCTAGTTGTCATCACTCCATCTTTTGTACTGCTGTTGACACTTACAAATTAAAGATAAATTTTGTTTTATGACCTCTGCGTACGGCCTGGTCTATGCCCTGCAAACTTCCCACCATCCAGCCCAGCAAGCCCTGGACTGGCACCACTTGCTGCCAGCCCACAGAGCTCTCCCACTCTCCACCACCCTTTGCTTCTGCCTGGCTCAGAGTAGGTCTCAGAAAGCCTGGGCCCCTTAGCCTGGGAGACTTGCCTGCCTTTTCCCTGTGGAGCTCCCTCCGCTGCAGCGGGAAATGCTTGTGGATTGAGAGGGGAGGAACAGGACCCAAGGCCATCTGTCAGGAGAAGATGAAAATGTCACTGCCTACTCGCCGGTGTCTTCGTGAGAGTGAGAAGGCAAATGAAAGCTCAGTACGTCGCAGCATCCCCGTGGATCTCCAGGGCCAGCCTCGCATGTGACACCGACGTCTATAGGCCCAGGAGCCAAGAGTGGAAATTGCTGGGCTGTGACTGGGAGCTGGTGGCCCAATGGTTCAGTCTCTCCTGCTGCAGAGAAGGCGCTCCCTGCTCGTGGTCCCGTGATGCACCCAGAGTGAAACTGGGCTCCCAGCAACACCAGCTCCAGTGTTTCTGAAGTGAATTGATCGTGCTCAGGGTCTGAGGGCTGGAGGTAGGGTAATGCCAGGCCCACCCTGGAGACTTGCCAAACCAGCCAAGCCAGCACTGCCCTGCGGATTGCAGAGATCAGTAGCCAACACCTGCAGAGTGGAACAAGAGTGTCAAAGAGAGATAGAGGAGGCGGCCTGCAACTTCCGTTGGTCTTTTCCTATGGGAAAAATAAAAATGTAAAACTAAGACTCGAGCAAAAAGCCTAGAATTTCTGACGCCGTCTTTATCCCAGATTGTCAGTTTGGTGTACGTTGCTAGAAATGATGAACTCCTAGCATTTCATGAACCTCCTTCCTACAGGACCAGTTTGTCAAAGCCCAGAGGAACAATGGGCCCTGGGATCTACCAGCCTCACTCTGCCACTTGCCAGCTGCATGATCTTCCCCCAGGAACTCTGAGCCAGCTTTCTCCTCCGTGAAATGGGACAAGAACCCCTGCCTCTCCAGGTGTGAGAGTGAAATGAAATGGCAGGTGCCGGCACTGAGCACAGGCCTGCCTGCAGAGCGGGAATGCAGCCCACCTCGTGTGCCCAGAGCGGATCTGAGCGGGAGGGGGCGTTGGTTGGTGCCCGTGCCTGGGGCCTTCGCTCAGCGCTCGGAGCTGGCCGCGTAGGTGCTTCCCGGGCAGACCTCTCTGAGCTAGTCCCAGGCCTTTGGTTTCTTACTCCCAGCCCCTCCTCACGCTGCGTTGGTCTTCCCAAAACAGATCTGATGTTTCCCTCTCGTAAACTCCGAAAATCACCTGGCTTTCCATGGCTGATGAAGTAAAATTCCAGCCTCCTCCCCCGCAGAGCCGGCCTCCTTTTCCTAGGTGGCCTTGTGTACCCTCCACCTCCCCCCGCTGCTCCTCCTACAGCCCCCCCCCCCAACTAAACCTATCCCCTCCTGTTTCGGAAAATTCTCACTTACCTTTCACCCCCACTCCAAGCATCACCACTTCCTGCGGCCTTGGGTTTCGAGCTCTTCCTGGGGGCTCCGTGGCACTTTGAAAGGACCTCGTGCGATGATTTGTTCCATCTTTTCTGCCAGTCGAGGAGCTGCGGGAGGCAAAGCCTGCTCCTGGGTCCCCCAGCCCTCAGCGCAGAGCTGGGCGCGCAGTAAGTGCTCGACTTGTGTGTGGAAGGAATGTACGAGCTACGAGTGGCCACAACCTGGCTTCCATGTGCGGTGTAGACGCCTGTGAGAACCAGGGGCTTGGTGGGGCAGTGAGGGAACCTGTGGGTACCGTGATAGCAGCTTCTCATTTGGAGAACGTTTTAAATGGATCCCTATTCATACTGGGAGAGCAGTCCCGTCCCCAGTCCGTACACGGTGAGGCTGAGTGTTTCCCGGAGGCGCTGGCTGGCCCAGCCCTGGGGCCGCCCAAGTCCCTTC